GACAACACACGCACACAAACACACACACACTCTCTCTGTCTCGCTCTCAAACTAACACTCACGCACACGCACACAAACACACACACTCTCACTCTCTCTCTCTCATACACACGCAAATCGGGAAAAGTTGTCAAGTCATGGCATGGCATGGCATGTCATGTAACGACTGCACTGTGCAAAGACGCATGCGACGAACCTAACGAAAAGGAACAAAATGAAACCAAAATCACCGAGCAGAGCAGTGGCAGCAACCACATCATGTCACACACGCGACACCACACAAGGAAACACACACACACAGTTCAATCGAATCAAGGCAAGACGTTGATTGTCGTCATGGTGGGCCAGGTTGTTTCAAGCGTCACCTTCGACAGCTCCCACCTGCCAGGGGCGGGAGGAATAAGTCAATGGTGGAACCGCAGTGAGTAAGGGCAACGCGGCAAAGTCTGCGCAGGGAAACAACCCCTCAAACACACGCTTACACAAGGAAACACACGAGGCTACGAACACACGCACACATATGGGACTCACGGTGCTTCATCGTTGGTCCGTCGCGCAAACACTTCCAATGTTCCTTCCTCTGTGGTTTTTCCTTTGACAGGAATGCGAATCTGCACGAAAAGCGCCCCCAAACCAAGCACACACACACACACACATACACACACACATACACACAATGTAAGCCCAAGCACTGGCACTCACAAAGCAGCGACTCAGAAGATGCAAGTCCCAAACATCCTCCCCCCCCCCCGACTCAAGGTCTTCACAAGCGCACCTTGCCCTCGCGCTCACGACCACACGCACGTTCTCATTTGAACGGCAACAACACCCGGCACGGCACGGCCAACAAAACGTAGCAGTCACACGACAACACGCCCAGACCTCCTTGCAAGTGCACGCACACATTCAATCAATCAATTTCACGTTCGTCAGCGTACCTTGGCTTGTGTGGTGTGCACTGTTGTGAAGCCGTCAAACAAGTCCACAGATCCTGGTTTCAAATCCTGGCCCAGCGCAGCCATGCTGGGCCCATGCTCGCGTGCCGCGTTCACAGCCATAGAGTAGTACTCTGCGCTCGACACTTGCTGCTGGGTGAACTTGTAAAACCCAAACGTGCTCGCGCTGACAAACACCAGGCCCGCTGACGCCACCTGGCTCAACGTCTTCAGCGACACACGCATGCTGGGTGGTTGTTGGGAGGTTTGCGTTTGGTGTTGGCCTGTTGGTGTGCAGAAATTTTAATGAAAACACCAACTAATCGTCTACAATGAAGGCAACGCCGCGAACGCACAACAGCAAGCAGAGTGGCTTGCTCGCTTGCTTGCTCGCTTGGCGGCTGGGGCGATGGTATCATCATCAATCAATCACGCGAAAGAACCATACCAACAAAGCTGCATGCTGCGGCAACAACCAGCAATGGTGGAAAAGGTGGGGGATACACTGAAGGAAACACAAAATATCATCATGGAAGAAATCATGCGAGCTACAAGCAACAATGGCACAACTGAACACACACATACACACACGCACACAAGCTAACTCATGCAAACACACACACACACACACACACACACACACACACACACAATCCAACTCATACAAACACACACGCAAACACACATGCACGCACGGGCAAATGCGCCCGCTGCTGAGCTCTTTCAGGAGGAGGCGGGAACAGCCGCAGATGCAAGGAGAAGCTGCAGAGACCGCTCGGCTGTTATGGCCACTTGTTTCACCACGTCCAGGACTTGGTCCAGGGTGACGTCCTCGCTCGCCGCCTCCAAGCACAGCGCGCGGTTCACGGGCATCATTGCCGTCAGGTCCTTGCTCGTGTCCCAGTGCCGCACAGCCTCAATCTCCACGCCCGTCAGCGGCTTGTGCTCCTCTCGCTTCTCCAGCACGCGCATAAGGAACCAGATGTAGTTCCACACGTTGTGGTCGCTCGCAATATGCGCCTCAAAGCCGCCCTTGTGTGCAGCCTGGATGCGGTCGTGGCTGAAGTTGCACACAAAGCACCGGCTCTCCTTCTCCGCAGCGATGGCCTCCGTCTCGGCACGGTACTCGCCAAACGAGTCAATGATGATACCGGAAACAATCGCAGCCATCACCAGCACCACCACCATAAAGTACAGCAGCGAGTACACAAACAGGCCCACATCCGCATCCGCGGGCGCAAACACGGGCGACGAGTAGAAGCCGTAGTACAGATGGTCGCGCAGGCACTGCACCAGTGGCGTGCCCGGCGCACACGTGGCCGGGGCGTCCGCAAAGTCGTACGTGCCACCAAACGCATCGCGGCCCACAAGCATAAACGCGTAGATGATGAAGAAGGTGAGCAGGAAGGTGCCCAGGAGTTTGGAGACGTTCTGCTTGACGGCGCGTAGCACGAGGTTCATCACCTCCACCCGCAGCACCAGGTCAAACAGGTGGAAGCAGAACAGCTTGAACTGGAAGATGCCGGCAACGCTCATGGCAAGGTACACCACGTAGTACGGGTACGATGCCTGCAGGCTCCAGAACAGCGGGAAGGCCAGCGCCTTTCCAAGGAGCGAGCGCCCCTCTGCCGCCTCCTGCCACCGCTGCCAGTCAACGTACAGCGGGGACAGCGACTGCCCAAGCAGAATCAGCATGCTGACAACAGCATGCGCAATCGCCAGCACCCGCACAACGCTGTGCGGGAACCCATCGTCGCCCAGGTCAAAGATGACCCAGATGTTGATGATGGCGGCGAGGATAAACGCCAATGGCAGCAGAAACCGCTGGTGGCCAAGCACATACGACACCCCCATGCGGGCCACGCGCGCCTCAAAGTTCATCACGTTCATGAGAAAGTCGACGCTGCCAAAGAACGACTGCATCTTCTGCTCCGGGTTCTCCAGCACCGTGCCATTGATCATCTGCGTGCGCAGCTGTCGCACCTGCAGCTTGTCCTTCGTGTCGTGCACAACAGCGGGCACCTGGAAGTACACGGGCTGCAGCTCGCCATCACGCAACAACTCAATCCGGCCAACGCTGTCGCGCGCGTTGTGGCTGTGCGGGGAGTGCTGCTCCCACGTGTTGAGCAAGTGCGTCACGCGAATGCAGTAGTTCTCGGCCTGCTCGCCAAGAATCCGCAGCACCGTGTAGTACAGCAGCGCAACGTCGTGGTCGAAGAAGTGCGCCGTGTGTGGTGACGCAGCCACGCGCTGCAGGGCCGCCTCTCGCACGTGCATGTTGGCGTCGCTCTCCGCGGCAGCAGAGTGCCCGTCAAGGAGGCGGAAGAACGCGCTCTGGGTGAAGTGCGCGTCGCGGGTGAGGTACGGCTCCGGGAACAACGCAGCGCACAGCATGTCCAGCACCACGTCGCCCTCCCGCCGGCCCTCGAGCACGCCGAGCAGGAGGAAGAGGATGGATGCCTCGCAGCACTCGTCAATCACATCCAGCGCGTTGCACAGGTCAAAGCTCTTCACGAGCGCATGCATGTGCTCTGTGTCCACATCCACATCGTAGCCGTCCTGCTGCACCCAGTCGCCGTGCCCGTTGTCCACCACGCCGTACGACTCGCACCAGATGCTCAGGGATGCAGCCGCCTCAAGCACATACAGCGTGAGCGAGTGGAACACATCCTTGTCTGGAATGTCCTCGCTGTCGTCCGACGCGTTCAGATAGCGCAGGAACAGCAGAATCGGCTCGTGCACCTGAAATTGTTGACAGGGGCGAGTGGGGGGTTGTGGGGGGGGGGCGGGGGTGGGTGGGATGATGATAAGAGGGG